CTTCTTTCCTTCCTTCCTTCCTTCCTTCCTTCCTTCCTTCCTTCCTTCCTTTCCTTCCTTCCTTCCTTCCTTCCTTCCTTCCTTCTTCTTTCTCTTGTTTCTGGATAGCAAACTTTGTTTCAGTAAATGAAGTAGAAGAGAAGTTTGCTAACATCACATTAAGATTAATTTTCTCTCTCTACACCATTAGAGGCAAGAAATGAAAATTGGATTTTTCTGCCCGAGATTAGCGGCTGCTCAGGGAAACACAGTAAATCAGAGGAACAATTCGGCATTAATATAATGTTATTTTAGTTGTGTATTAAGGGGAACAAAATCCACTTTAGATGTATTTCAGCTGAACAAATTCTAGTTATATTTCCCCATCCGAAATGTTTATGTGCAATAATTACTGTAACTAGTGCAGACTTTATCTGGAAAGAAAAGAGACAAAAGAAAGTATAGTGGAAGTTTTTAACAATGTATACATTTTTCACTATCTATCTATCTATCTATCTATCTATCTATCTATCTATCTATCTATCTATCTATCTATCTATCTACTATCTATCTATCTATCTATCTATCTATCTATCTATCTATCTATCTATCTATCTATCGAATTTATCTATCTATCTATCTATCTATCTATCTATCTATCTATCTATCTATCTATCTATCTATCTATCTATATCTATCTATCTATCTATCTATCTATCTATCTATCTATCTATATTCTATCTATCTATCTATCTATCTATCTATCTATCTATCTATCTATCTCATCTATCTATCTATCTATCTATCTATCTATCTATCTATCTATCTATCTATTATCTATCTATATTCTATCTATCTATCTATCTATCTATCTATCTATCTATTTTTCATCCTTGATTACATCTCAGTGTTGCTGATCTCTGGCAATATCTGTGCTGCCCCTTCCTATCAACATGCACTCCAGCAATGACTTCATGGCATTTCTCTGGGTAGGTCTCCCGATGGTGACAACAACATGCTATGAGTAAGGCTTCATCCGAAACATTGTATCCTGCCATGTAGCCAATGAAGCATTGTTGCAATGAATGTTACTGAGTAGCCATCTTCATTGTATTAGAGCAGGGGTGTCAAACTCAATTTTATTGACAAGGTCACATCAGCATTATGGTTGACTCCAAAGGGCCCATTGTATCTCTAGTAGTAGATATCCAGAGCACTTCACTCCCCTTACATCAGATGTCAAGAGTCCCCACTATCAGAAGTCAAGAGTCCCCCACCTACCAACATCATAGTGCACCCCTTTTACCTTGCACTGCTGCCATGAAGAAGTCGGGGAGGGGATTGCAAATCAGAAAGTACAGGGTCCGGAGGAGGGCTGGAAGAAGAGGATTATTGCTACAATTCAAAGGCATCACAGCCAGATTACTAGTTTCCAGTTTCCCATGTAATTTGTGGTAGAGCATGTTGTTCAGTGTTGAAATGGACAATTGTAGTTTCCTTGAAAGCCCATGTGACAGGGTGACAACACAGGAGTACAATTGGAACAGAGCATTGTCACTCAAATACAGGAAGTGCCTGAACAAGGATCTACATGGCTGGATCATCAGTGGCCTATACCTTTGATTCTCAAACTTTCTAAGACCAGAGCCAAGTAAATCTATCAAGAACCATCTATTTCCCAACAGTAAAGAATAACGTTTATACTCATGCAATAAAACTCTAGAAATGCAAAACAGGTATTAAAGTGGTGGAAGGCTCTGGATGGGGCTAGGTGTCACCATGGGGAGGGTGGAGTTTGTGGAAGAGGTTAGGGGACCCTGAAGCCGACTTGGGGGTCCTTTAATGAATGAGGTTTCTGGAGGAGGCTGGGAAGCATGGTTGGTGGGCACCATGGGACCCTTTTGGGAGCACGATGGAGGCTGGTGGCACTGTTAAGGCTGAAAGCTCTCAGGGAGCATAAGTGTACTGTGGAAGCTATTATGGGAGCTAGTGGGAGGTTGATGGATCTAAAGCTAACTAGAGACCCAGGTGAGGGGAGACCATGGCCCAGCACTGGACCCCAGCCCAGTGGTTCTCAACCTTATTGAGACCAGGTCCCAGTAGATTCTTCCAAAACCTTCCATGTCCCAAAAGTTATTTGGATGGGTGTATCTGTCTTGGATTTGGGGTTTTGGATAGGATTTGGGGACTCTGTATCAGGCTTGGTGGCTCTGTAGGGGAATTCTGAAGGTAGAGGGGGGCAACTGTGTATGGGATGGAGTCTCTGGCAAGGGTTGTGGTTCTCTTAGGGAGGCTGGAGGCTTTCAAATGGTGGTGTGGGTACACTGGAATGCACTACAGATAGTGGGGGAGGGGACTTTGGGATACTTTTGGGGGTTAGGGGCACAGTGGGGGAGGGGGGATGAAAGATTTTCAGCAAGATAGGGGGAACTGTGGAGGGTTGGGGCAGTGTGAAAAGTTGAGGGAACAGTGGACCACAGCCCAGTGGTTAGAACCCACTGTTTTTTATCATTGGTTCTAAACCTTGTTGAGACCAAGTCCCAGTAAAGTCTTCCAAAACCTTCCATACCTCAACAGTAATGGGGCTGGTTGTCCCTGTCAGGCACGGGTGTTTTGAAGAGGCAGCAGGTTTGCTGGATCTGTAGGGGATTCTGAAGGGAGCTGGGGACAACTGTACAGGTTGAAGTTCCTGGAGGGGTCCGTGAGTCTCTACAGGAGGCTGTAGGCTGAAGTGCACTACAGAGTCTGAGAGGGACATTGGGATACTTTTGGTGGTTGGGGGCACAATGGAGAATCTAGAAGATTTGCAACAAGTTAAGGGGCACTGTGGAGGGCTGGGGGGGGGGCAGTGTGGGAGGTTGAGGGGCAGAAGTGGACCACTGTGGGAGGTAGAATAGCACTATGGGAGCTGGGAGGCAGTGTGGGAGTTTAGGGGATCTGCAGGTGGCTGGAGGCCCAGGAAAGGGGAGGCCATGGCCCAGCAGTGAACCATGGCCCAGTGGTTGAGAGCCATTTTTTTCCAATAATCTAGGGGGCTCTGTAGGTGGCCGGGGGGCAGTGTGGGACGTTGAGGGGCACTGTGGGGAGCTGGGGCCAGGGGGAGTAGCAATATGGGAGCTAGGAGGCTCTATGGATGTTTAGGGCATCTACAGGTGACTGGAGTCCAGGGAGAAGGGAAGCCGTGGTCCAGCAGTGGGCTAGGGCTAGATGGTTGAGAACCGCTGGTCTATACTATTGGAGCAAACAGCACAATGGCCATGTCCACAGCAGCTTGAACCATACAGGGACATTACATAAAAAAAAACAATATATATACGTATATATATATATATATATATATATATATCCAATTAAAAAAAGTGTACATTGGAGTGGGGAAAAACTATTGATTTGATGTCTGGAGTCTTGCTGTAATATCGAATGATGTCACTCCCTCGCTAAGCAGAATTTCCTGCCATACCCTCTAAAGTTTCTCACGGTTCAGCCCACATTAGAGGGTTTTTTTTTTTTCATTCAGCAAACATTTGCAGTGGTTTATGTCGCACTTCCCACCGCGCGACACTTTCGGTAATATAATACCACTCCCTAAATGAGCGCGTTCGGAAAAAAGATTGCTGCTAGACAGGAAATGGCCATAACACCAGCGCAACAAGCATAAAGCTGCTTAAAGAGTAAATTTTCTGAGCAGCGGTGCGCAATAAATACAAGGAGAGTCCTCAAGCAAATAACTGATAAAAGATAAACCTATTACAAGGATAAATGTTCCAATTTGTCAAGCTTATAAAAAACCATGCTGCAATCCTGGGCTCTTATAGAGGCTTCTGGGTTATTGGCACAGCCACAGAGGGACACGGTGACCCCAAGAAATAAACTGGAAGGGTATATAAGGACATTATGTAATATTAGAATGCTCAATATTTAAAGGTGAGTTTCCGCCTTCTCTTCAGTTTTTTTTCACAGTTGTAGCGGCTCTTCTTCTGGTCTGAAATTGCTTACTCTGATTTTACTGCACACTGTGAGCTTCTCACTGTAGCAATACCCTCTTGAGTGCCGCTGGGTTTTTGTGTCCCCCTTAAGCTTTGCACAGCCTGGCAAAATGCATTTTCCACTCTTTCATCCAAAGTCAGTAAACAGTCCATGAGCTTGTTTTTTGTTGCTTTATTAGGGGTTCACAACTTGGATGGGGTCTAGGGGGTATATGGGATGTCCAATGGAAGCGAAACAATTTGGAGGACAACTTCCTAAGTACAACAAAAGGCAAAAATCCAGCAAAAAGCATAAAAGAACAGATCCTTGGCTCTCTACTTCTTCAGGAGTGGCTCGCATTTTCTGAAGAATCAGCACACAGTCCTTACAAGGAGTGTTTTGGTCCCCTTAACCATTTCAATACTGGCAATTTTACACTTTCCTGCCCAGGCCAGTTTTCAGGTTTCAGCGCTCTCACATTTTGAATGACAATTGCGCGGTCATACAACATTGTACCCAAACTAAAATTTTATCATTTTCTTCGCACAACTAGAGCTTTCTTTTGGTGGTATTTAATCACCGCTGGGGTTTTTATTTTTTGCTAAATTAACAAAAAAAGACCGAAAATTTTTGAAAAAAAAAAAAACAAGTTTTTCTTTGTTTCTGTTGTAAAAGTTTGTAAATAAATAATTGTTCTTCATAAATTTAGGCCGAGATGTATTCTGCTACATGTCTTTGGTGAAAATAACCCAAATTAGGATGTATTATTTAGTTTATAGGAAAGTTATAGAGTTCACAAACTATGAGATAGATCTGAATATTGATCAATCCTGAAGTACTGATGGCCAATCTAATTTCTTGAGGTCCAAGAATGTCAGAACAGTACAGATATCCCCCGAATGTCAGGACAGTACAGATATCCCCCCAAATGTCAGAACGGTACAGATATCCCCCCGAATGTCAGGACAGTACAGATATCCCCCGAATGTCAGGACAGTACAGATATCCCCCCGAATGTCAGGACAGTACAGATATCCCCCAAATGTCAGAACGGTACAGATATCCCCCAAATGTCAGGACGGTACAGATATCCCCCAAATGTCAGAACAGTACAGATATCCCCCAAATGTCAGGACAGTACAGATATCCCCCAAATGACAGAACAGTACAGATATCCCCCAAATGTCAGGACAGTACAGCTATCCCCAAATGTCAGAACGGTACAGATATCCCCCAAATGTCAGGACAGTACAGATATCCCCAAATGTCAGGATGGTACAGATATCCCCCAAATGTCAGAACAGTACAGATATCCCCCAAATGTCAGGACAGTACAGATATCCCCCAAATGTCAGGACAGTACAGATATCCCCCAAATTTCAGGACAGTACAGATATCCCCCCAAATGTCAGGACAATACAGATATCCCCCAAATGTCAGAACAGTACAGATATCCCCCAAATGTCAGAACAGTACAGCTATCCCCCAAATGTCAGAACAGTACAGCTATCCCCAAATATCAGAACAGTACAGATATCCCCCAAATGTCAGAACAGTACAGATATCCCCCAAATGACCCCTTTTTGCAAAGTAGACAGTCCGACGTATTTCATAAGAGGCATGGCGCGTTTTTTGAAGTATTTTTTTTGTCATAATTTTTCGGAAAATGAAAAAAATTATTTTCACTAATTTTTTTTACATACTGTCACCAGTGCAGTACAGCATCATCATATAACTGGCACGGCGGTGAACAGGGACACTGACTGGTGACAGTATGAAAAAAAAAAATATATATATTTTTTTTTATATAAATTTTTTTTAAGATTTTATTTTCATATTTTACTATGACCAAAGTAGTACAATGTTACCATAGTAACATTGTACTACTTTGGGGAAGTGATCAGTTTTTTTTTTTGTTTGTTTGTTTTTTTACACAATTTGCTTATAGCAAAGAATTACTTTGCTATAAGCAAGCCTTTACCAGAATGAAATCGATTCATTCAGGTTTTTTTTTTTTTTTTTTTTGTGCTTAGCTGTGATTTGGCCACAGCTAATCACATGACATGTGCATGTGACCTGCTGTGACCATTCACAGCTAGACACTAGTATACAATGGATGGCATGAATGAAGCCATCCATTGTATACAACTGTCATGTGACCTGCTGTGATTGGTCACAGCAGGTCACATGGTACCGGCAACGGGGGCCGGGTACTCAGATCTGTCATCGGCCGTCTCCGAGGTACACGGCCGGTGACAGATCGCGCCGCTGCACGGCTCTGCAACCGCGCGAACTGCGCATGTGCGGGAGCACGCCAAATGGCGAGCACCCGGAAAGGTGAAGCATTTTTGCCGCCGCCAAACGGCTATAGGCCGGGCGGCTAATGGTTAAAAGAACCTCCTCAGACCCCAGATGACATCCACCTGGCTGTCTTGAGTGTATCCCAGGGTCAGGGATTCCGAGACACACAAATAATGCAGTCTCAGGGAGAACTAGTTGGATATTGCATCTGACTGCCCTCTTCCTTTTTGGCGCAGGGTGTGTAGAAGTACTCACACTGTCCTGTTCATGTAGATGTAAAGGTGAAGCTGCTTTCAGGCCTTACTCTGGGTTGGCTTTTTCTCTTGATGACAGGCTGTCCTTTTCTGTAGACTGCGGGGAGTGGAGGTCCCTCCTTCCATCTCCCAACCTGTAGGTAGACTCCCACTCCTCTGTGGCCCCATTCCAGGCTCTACGTCAGGAAGCACTTCCTCACTCCATCTTCTACCTGACTCCCCTGCTGACCAGGCTTGTGCGGTCATACAATGCTGCACCCAAATGAAATTTACATCCTTTTTTTCCCACGAATAGAGCTTTCTTTCGGTGGTATTTGATCGCCTGTGCGATTTTTATATTTTGCACTATGAAAAAAAAAATGACCGACAATTTTGAGAGAAAAAACAATATTTCTGACTTTTTGCTATTAAAGCAAAATCACGTATATATGTGATTTTGTGGCCTCCTGTTGCCTTGTAGCTGTATATTTGCTATAGGGCAGCGGGAAAGCAGTTAATAATAATATATAATAGTAATAATAACAAAATAGATATTATAGAGAGCAATCACTAGATAGATAGCGATTATGATAATATTTAAACCCCCCCTTAGATAGGTTGCTAGAAAGGTTTAGGTAAATGTAGTTTTTCTGGGCTCCTCTGTAATCATTGGAGCTGTGTGTGATTATTTTGGGCCATTCTAGACTTCACTGGCTCTGGTGAATTGTAGAATGCAGTGGGCTGGAAGAGGCAGAGCCTGAACCTGAATATTTATGTAGCCTCGGCCAATCCATGGGACATAATACCCAGTAGGTGGCTGGGGAGCGCATAAATGGGACCTGGAGCAGCTGGGTTCTTGTCCAGGAGAAGAGGTTCCCAGCCTGAACATCTGAAGTTTCATAGGAGCTCATCGAGGTCCCAGCTCAACCAGAGCTGGGGGGGGGGGGGCTATTTTTCTTGGAAAAGCTGGAGCTGACCAAGGGATCTCACTGAGAATCTGGTCTAGAGAGTTCACAGGAAAAATATCTGGCTGATATTGAAAGGAGACACTCCAGGGACAGTGTAGGATCCTAGTGACTGATTGCTGCTGCCATCCCTTTGTGCATCAGTGCCAGTGTTTGCTTGGATGAGGGCAATCCCCTTTTTGAGGTCACAGTGCTGCTCATTCTCATTGTGGCTGCTAAAAGAAGTACAGGCGTACCTCGATTTGTGAATTTAATGCGTTCTCCAGGACGTTTCGTATTGAGAAAAATTCAAAAACCGAAACGCAATGTACCATAGGAATGCATTGAAAACCAATTAATCCGTTCTGGAGGTCTGAAGAAAAGTAAAAAAAAAGTATTTTATCTGTTCAAAATTCTTTATAAAGTGCACTTTAAAGGCATAAATACCGTACAGGGACGTGATTAAAAATGTCCAGAATGGCTTCAAAACTCGATGCAAAAACCACTCCAGCACCTCCACACTCGACACCACGTGCTCCCCACAGACTCCAGCATGCACGGGGCCGGCACTATAAACGTCCCAAGCGCAATTCATCCTGGGGAAACTTGCTTCGTATTGCGAAAAAAATTCTTAAATGCATTATAAACCAATGAATCTGTTTCGGAGGTCAGAAAATTTTTTTAAAAAGTCTTATCTGTTTAACACTCTTTATAAAGTGCACTTTAAAGGCACGGGGCCCGGCGCTATAAACCTCCCAAGCGCAATGCATCCTAGGGAAACTTGCTTCGTATTGCGATTATTTTCAATGGATTTTCATTCATAAGCCGAAAATTACATTACCTGAGGAGTTTGTAAACCGAGGTACGCCTGTATACTAAAAAAATCGAGACAAAGCAAAGAGTGTACTTCAAATATTTCACTGTGTTTCTGGAGTATCCCACAGCTCCTTGCACACCGACCAAGTTCAATAAAGCATCAAAAGACACCCATAGACTGTTCATTGAGCCACGACATTGACTAAGCTGCTGTGTGCCTGACTGCTACTATACCAGCTTGGACCTGAGGACTAATGAGTGGGCCCCAGGGGCGGACTGACCATTTGGAAACTCGGGCAGTGCCCGAGGGCCCGGGGTCAGTAGGGGGCCCCATGAGATGCCCTTGGTACCTTTTTCATAGGCTTTTTTGAGTTTGGGCAAGGACACAGGGGCCCCATGATACCCTATTGCCCGGGGGCCCCATGAGTTGTCAGTCCACCCCTGACTGCATAATATAACTCTTGCCGGATTTTAGTAGCTTTACGGTATCTTACCGCATACTTGGATGTGGTAAGATACTGCTTAGTGAATTGTCCCTGTTTGAGGTTCACGGTCGAACCAAACAGGGGAGTGTTCGGCCCATCACTGGCATTAACCAGTTTGGCTGCAGAGCAATTTCTTTTTTTTTTTCACATACTTGTAAAAATCCCAATTTTTGGCAATAAAATCACTTAAACTGCCCAGTACATTATATATTTTGCGAAAGCAAATGCCCTGCAGAATTAAAAAGGTGACAGTTGTACATTTTTATGTCACATGATATTTGCGCAACTGTTTATTAAACACAAATTTTCAGGAAAACGTAATAAAATAAATTTTAGTGCAAGAAAACACAATAGAATACCCATTTTTGGCTAAAATGTAAAAGATGAGGTTGAGTAGAGAGATACCTGACATTCCACGTCTTAAAACTGTATGCGCCCGTGTACTGCCGAAAGCGATGGTGCCCAAAAATCACCATAGGTGATGCTTTTAACCACTTCCAGTCCGGACACTTTCTCCCCCTTCCGGGGCCCGGGGTCAGTAGGGGCCCCATTAGATACCCCTGGTACCTTTTTCATAGGCTTTTATGAGTTTGGGCAAGGACACAGGGGCCCCATGATCCCCTATTGCCCGGGGGCCCCATGAGTTGTCAGTCTGCGTCTGGTGGGCCCTCTAAGGGGTGAACTCTACAATAATAAGTAGATTGATACAGTAAATCAATGCAAGTCAGACAGATAGAGATCATAGTTAGATAGATAGATAGATAGATAGATAGATAGATAGATAGATAGATAGATAGATAGATAGATAGATAGATAGATAGATAGATAGATAGATAGATAGATAATAGATAGATAGATAGATAGATAGATAGATAGATAGATAGATAGATAGATAGATTATAGATAGATAGATAGATAGATAGATAGATAGATAGATAGATAGATAGATAATAGATAGATAGATAGATTATAGATTGATAGATAGATTATAGATAGATAGATAGATAGATAGATAGATAGATAGATAGATAGATAGATAGATAGATAGATAGATAGATAGATAGATAGATAGATAGATAGATAGATTATAGATAGATAGATAGATAGATAGATAGATAGATAGATTATAGATAGATAGATTAGATAGATAGATAGATAGATAGATAGATAGATAGATAGATAGATTATATATTATAGATAGATAGATAGATTATAGATAGATAGATTATAGATAGATAGATAGATAGATAGATAGATAGATAGATAGATAGATAGATAGATAGATTAAAAAATCCAAGAAAATATTAATCCGTAGGTCTTTTAACATCTCCTATCTATCTATTCCAGAGAGTTGGGTTTGGCAGACACAACTGTGCAGAAAAGTGATTTTATCAGATTCCTGTCTGCCCTCCCTCTTTTCCTGTCTTCATTTTACAAATTAACATCTTATTTCACCTTTTAAGTGGTGTAAAGTGATCTTATTTTTTCGGCTGGCCAGATCTGCGCCCAGCTGGCTTTGGGCTGCTTGCCGTAAATTTCGGAGGTGATGTAAAGCGTTCTCGGGCCAAGTGTTTCTTGAGGTCACCCGGGACGTAAAGACCGAAGGGATGCTGAGAACCAAATATAGATACCGTGAAGCTTTGTGAATCCGCGTCGTGTCCCGGATCCTGGCGCTGCTGCTCGTG